AATATCAATATTACATTCATTAATTGAAATTAATATCACACATAAAAAGAATGATTAAATCAAATCAAATCAATATTCGAAACAATACTTCCCTATTGTCCCGAGATTTTCAAACAAAAATTTTTGATCAATAATTACTTTAATCCGTATATTTCTCATTGTATGATTAGAAAAGTTGTTTAATATTTTTTAATAATATCATTGCTGAATTAAATTTGAATTGCATCAAACAATGATATCATTGATTAAATAATAATCATAAACAATTTTATAGGTTAATACACTTTCACTTTATCAAATTTTCTTATCATTATCAGTTGAGTGAGAGAAAAATGATCAAATTCATCAAACTTTCATAACATTTCTTTAACGTTTGTGAACCATTCAAATTAGCTATTGCTATTGTTTTATCAAATAATAACCAAGACAGTTGACAAATTTACAATTCAGGAATAGAATAGCTATCAGAATAATAAAATTTCAATTAGGCAATGAATTAGCTATAAGAGTATGATAAAAGCATGAAATAATTCGATACGTATAATTAGTATATTTTAATTTAACATCTTCTTAGCAATTGTTAATTAGTAAAAGTTTTAGAAATCTTATCATTTAAATTATATTCCTAAAAGTGAAAATAATGCTAATGAGCAATTTTAATATCAGCTTATATTTTCTCTGATAAATTTCTCTGATCTGCTGTGATTAATAATAAAAATGAGCGTGAAAGAATTATTGTCACCTATTTATTATCCTATTTCATAGCCTAAATGCTTGAAATATGATAAAATGAGGAAGCATTGAACTGATAATGATAAATCACTTTATACTAATCCAATTTATTTTATCAGATAAAAGTTAAATTTGAAATTCTTCCAGCAAATATTTTAAACTTAACAGGACTAATAAACTCATATTGCAATTAATAATTATTATATATGTTATTATATATATATATTTTTAATTGTTGTCATAATTTAATGATATATCATAAGCAATGTTATGAGTATATTTGACACATAAGAAAAACTTTGATCTCTATTCATTTTTATTTCTTAAAAAAAAAAAAAAAAGAAAGAAAAAGCAAATAATATTTAGGGATCACATGAACCGTATGCCTGAAAAATAATTGCTGGCTCATTTTTCAATCAATTTTATCTTGATCATAATGTTGATCGTGTTAAATTAAGGGATTTATTGATGATAAAGAATTAAATTCAATTATTTTAGGAAAGAGTTAAATTCGATTATTTTGATAATAAAGAATTAAATTTAATTATTTTAACAAAGAATTAAATTCAATTATTCGATGATGAAGAATTTAAATTCAATTTTTTAAATAATTTTGATTTTAATATAAGACAAAAATATAAATTTCAAAAAAATTAAAATTCATGAATTATCTATATATATGTAAAAAAGAAGCTAATATTATTCATATATTATCATTTATTCATCAAATAATTGAATTTAATTTTTTTTTATCTTATTTTTTTTTCCACATATTTCATATAATATCAATCTTTCCCCATATTTATCATTCCTGTTTCTTCTTTTTAATCATATTGATGATGATAAGTATGTTTCAATACTAACCCGGGATATCTGGAATTTCTCGGGTTGTAATTTTTAGCATATTCAGGATTACAATGCAATAATTAATTAATTATCATAATTCAATGATAAATATACTTGATCGTACTAAAGATAACTTGATCTGTTTTATAAATCAATCGGTTAATGCATGCTAATAGGAAGTTTGCATTATTTTAATCTTATATCATTACTTTTTGCAATTTTATCATTGCATAGAATTTCTCTACTTAATCTTTATTCAGAAAAGAATATGCATGTAGTGATTGCTAATTGACATGCTAAATGCATGCGCTCAATTAAAACTGCATGATAGGTTATCGTGCATCGTTAAATGAAGAAAAAAAAATGATGAAATTATTTGATCAAAATGTCCAATGTGAATCGATGACTTTGACATTTAATTTAATTTAGCTTTTTTTTTTTTTTTTTTGTTCACATACTTTTTTTAATTTTATTTTTCAAATTCGGAAAAAAAATTCTAAATAAAATTTAAAAAAATTTATTTTTTTATTTTTTTTCAATAATTGTTAATTAAAAGAAAATTTTTCATAAAAATTGGACCTAATTTTATATGAATAATAATTTTTTTGTAAATATTTTGCTAATAAAACTTTAAATTGCTTTGATAATTTATCAAATTTCTTCTAAATTAATTACTTTTTTTGAATAACTAAAAAAAAACTCAAAAACTGTTTATTTTTTAGGTTAGTCAGAAGTAATAACAGAAGTACGACATGCAGGGGGCATAGCTCAGGGGTAGAGCGCTCCGTTCGCATCGGAGAGGTCTGGGGTTCGATTCCCCATGCCTCCAGCTAGTTTTTCTGAAAAGAAAATTTGTTTATTGATTTGTTGATAATCAATCGTTGTTATCAATAGCTAATCCTTCATCAATATCGTATTCACCAATGTATAATTCATAAACACAGGACCCGAAGTGTATTTATGGCTTATCAGGATTATCACTTATCTCTATGAATTATTGAGATGTATCAATGAACTATCAAGATATCTTTATGAATTATCAAGATATTTCAGTGAATTATCAAGATATCTCAGTGAATTATCAAGATATCTCAGTGAATTACCAAGATATCCCTATGAATTATCAAGATATCTCAGTGAATTATCAAGATATCTCAGTGAATTATCAAGACAACTCAATGAATTTTAGGTTTCTAAATTTTCAGTAAATTATACGTCTATGGTATCTTCAATTTGCTGAACTTTTGTTGAACTTTATGAATTTTATGAATTCTCTCTATCATCTAATCTAGATATTTCTATGAATCAATCAATATATCTATCTCTCTCTCTCTACCCATCTATTATACCTATCTCTCTTTCTCTCCCTATATACCTATTATATCTATCTCCCTTTCTCCCATATCTATGTATTATATCTATCTCTCTTTCTCGCCCTATCTATTTATTATCCAATCAATTTATCTTGTATCTATATCTATATCTGTACCTATCTATCTAACATAAACTTAATCATATCCATTTCAAATATCTGCATGAATCAATCTACCATATCTATCCATCTATTCATTTATATCTATCTACCTATCTATCTATCTATCTATCTATCGATCTATCTATCTATCTATCTGTCTATCTATCCATCTATCTATCTATCTATTTCTCTCTCTATCTAATTTAAATTGTGATAAATCGTTATCAAAATGAAAAACATTTATCAGTTTTATCAGAATAACTATGAATCTATTTAGAGCTATCATATTCTTTGTTTTTTTTTTTAAATTAAAATTGCTCGTAATTAAATTATGACATTAAATGAATGGCATACATTTTTCACTATCCT